AGAAGCCCAAAAAAAAAAAAATAGAGAGCTCTCCCCAGTGAGTGAAGTCAGGGCCTAATCTAGAAATCCAACTGCTAGATAATCACTTTGCCTAGTCTCAAAATCACTTTTTATTTTTGGGAAAAGTTTTACATGTTCTCTTAATATTAGACTAAGTCTCTCTATATGTGGGTATATGGGCACATATGAGAATGTATACTATAGCAGGCTGAATATGGGCCCCTGAAGAACTTAGGTTCTCATTCTTGGAAACTGTAAATGTCACTTTATTTTTAAAAAGGGGTCTTTGCTAATGTGATGAAGCTAAATAAATTGAGATGAGGAGATTTTTTTATCCTAGGTTATGTGTGGGCCCTAAATGCCATCATATGTATCCTTACAAGAGGGACACAGAGGAAGATTTCAAACACACAGGGGAGGAGGCAATGTGAAGATGAGGGGCAGAGATTGGAGTGATATGGCCACAAGCCAAGGAATGTTGGCAACACCAGAAGCTGAAAGAGACAAAGAACAGATTTGCCTTAGAGCCTATTGATACTTTGAAGCAATTTTTTTAGCCAGAGAACAGGATTAAAAATTTTTGGCCTTCAGAATTGTGAGAGAACAAATTTCTATTGTTTCAAGCAATCAAGTTTGTAGTAATTTGTTACAGCAGCCATAAGAAACTAAGATACTCATACATTAAAGAGGTATAATATATCTCCTATTTAAATATCTGGGATAATGCAGCAGACCCTGTAATTCCGTGGCTTGGTTGTAAGTTGGTAAATTTTTGTCTTGATGGAAACAAAATAATTTTGAATAAGATCCAAAAATGTGTGTTGGCCTGCCCAGGCGTGGCTCANGATGGAAACAAAATAATTTTGAATAAGATCCAAAAATGTGTGTTGGCCTGGCCAGGCGTGGCTCAACAGTTGAGGATCCAGGAGATCACAGTTCGATTCCCTGTCAGGGCACCTGCCTGGGTTGTGGGCTCGATCCCCAGTCGGGGGGCAGCTGATCAATGATGACCCTCTCATCTTTGGTCTTTCTGTCTCTCTCTCCCCCCCCTTTCTCTCTCTGAAATCAATAAAGATGTATTTAAAACAACAACAACAAAACAACAAAAAACCAAAATGAGTGTTGTTCTCTATTTTGTGGCAAATTTCAAATTTACAGTGGTGTGAAAGGGCAGAAAGTGTCATTGCAGAGTCACCCTTATTTAATATATCTTTTGTATTATTAAAAACTAGAAATATCTTTATCTTTGTTTTTAATTCTAAAGCAATGAGTTTTGATTTTAGAATTTGAAAAGGTAGAAAATTAACATTTTCCTTATCAGTGTTAAAGTTTTTTCCTCACATTTAAAAATATCTAAATAAACACATACATATGTACTTTGAAAAATAAAAATGTAAACTCCTATTCTTTGGCAACTTACTGTTCTTCAGAAGACTATACTGTAGACAAATTTCTATAGCAATATATATATATAGCTGTACGTCCTTCTTAACTGAACTATATCATTCCTTTAGGTGAACATGCCATAATTTATTTAAACAGGTACTCACTGTTAGATGCTTCAGTTGTTTCCTATACTTCTAGTGCAAATAGTAATACTTTTCCTTTTTATATGAATTTAGTGTTCCATGTTTTGCCAAGCTCAAAAGTACTTTCAGTTTAAAAAAATAATTACTTTGCAAAGGTACTGAACATTAAAAGTATTAAAATAGATCATGTGCTTCTATTAATTGCATTAAAGTTACTGAGGAGTTCTGATAAATAACTGTAGTAATGGTTAATTTTTTAGACATCTGACTACCCAGTGGTGCTCTCTTTAGAAAATCACTGCTCCCCTTCCCAACAAGAAGTGATGGCAGACAATTTGCAGGCTATTTTGGGAGAAACCTTGCTTTCTGATACGCTTAATGATTTTCCAGACAAACTACCTTCACCAGAGGTAACATTTTATCTGAGAAGCTCAGGTTAAGAATGAAAGAAAAAGTATGTCACTATTATATTGGCTCATGAAACTGTGCTGGAGATCAGTGAAAATGCTTAGAATTGATTATTTATAGAGGTATATCTTTGCAGTGTGTTGCTTAGAAAATGTTTCTATGAACATTTAGGTGAGTATATTTTGAAGAGAATATATAGAGATATATGTTAAAGCCCACATTTTAAATTTTGTGTCATACCCCATGAGTTCAAAATTTCAAGTCGATTAATATTAGGCCACAGGAATTTGGTGGTTTATAGGCAAAAGACTGAGAAAGAGGCAAAGATCTGTAAGTAGAGTCCAGGCCAAAACCTCAGCACCTGGGTAGCAGGTTCCCCTTATTTTAATCTGCTTTTTTCAATTTAGCTATCTCTATGGGCCCTTTTCCATTCTCAGCTGAGCATACTCAAGTATTTGGTTTAAAAAAAGGACCTTCACCCTGCCCTCAGGATCAGTTTGCTCTCCAATTTTCTCTGTATTTTATTGTTCTCTGTTTCAACCCAAGTTTCCTCTTCCTCACCTCCTCACAACCAACCTAGTCAGGCTTCCTTTTCCACCTGCACCATAGTGAATATCTCATTTTGTTTATCAAAGACTTTCCTACTGGTAAATTCTAATGGACCTATGTCAGTCTTTATCTGACTTGTTTCTTCAACAGTGTTCAATACTGTGGATGCCTCTTTCCTTTCCTTAAAACACTTTCTTCTATAACATCACATTCTTGGGGCTTTCCTCAATCTTCCCTGGCCCTGCCTTCTTAGTTTCCTCTGCTGGCCCCAATTTTTACCACATGATAAATGAACTTTTTTTTTTTTTTTTTTTTTTACA